CATCAAAAGAACCTGAGCGTACACTACAGTATATGTTGAGAGCCTCCAAACTGCGTATGAACCCGAATGTATTGTTCCATTCAGGCAAAGTAGAATTATTCTGAAGCCACAGAATATGGAATTAGTCATATCCGCGAAAACTTCGAAAGTTAAGGATCATAGGTGAGTTGACAAGACTTTAATATTCGCGCGCTTTATTAAGAGCAATACTGAAGACATTCTGTGGTACCATTTATGAGTTGTATCAAGTCTTATTCCCGAACAATCCTGTAAAAAATATTTGAAACCCACGCACAGAGCATAGCAATAGCTAGGTTGGAATAGTATGAGCTGCTATACTCTATATATCTCCCGGCCTACACCGGCAAAATGATTTAGTTGTGAACTGGAAGATGTGGAAGATTTTCCCCATCTCACTTTATCAAGATTCCTATAAAGAAAAAAATTGATCACTACAAATCCTTATGATTCCGTCACTGTCTCCCAAGAATAATCCCTCCGAAGTGTAATTAATGTGATAAGAATATTCTTCTCTATCACTAAAGTCATAGTCCTAAGAAATATATCATCTCCTTAAGGAATAACATATCTCTGGATTAAGCTAAGAGATACCTCTGGGCATGTTACGAGGGTATAGGATTTTTTTATTTATTTTTTACACGTATTAAAAGAGGGTTCATTTCCTATTTAATCTCAGATTCCCATCTTGTTCTGTCATTTTAACTTTAAAAATTCAGAACGAGAGTATATTATCTACAGGCCTACTTATTCTTTAGGATTAATTAACAAGAACAGGGTAATATAACAGAAATCCAGGAACATTTTAACGGCATAGTGAATGATTGGATTTATTCCGATTATTTGTTTATTCCATTCTCTCGTTCAGCTAATATTTAAGCCCCAAGAATGACAAGAAGGAAAATCAACAATTATACGTCGTTTTCTAGTTCAAGAAATAAAAATCTCGTGATATATTTCCTATGATTCCCACCGTATTAGATAATGAAATCCTTATAAAAGGTATAATTAGTTCTTTATCAGAGGATATAATGGTATATAACTCATATTATGACAGCCCCAATCTATGATAATAGGATTAAAAATATTAAAATAAAAACAAGAAAGAGTGCTATAACCCAAAAAACAACAGATTAATGTCTCTACCCCCCCATAAGTATTATATGATATGAATGTACATTAATAATTAGTAAAGTTCTAAAGTTAATAGATAAAACAGAGAAATTGCCTAGTGTTCTATCCTAATCTGGATTACATTTCCGATAGTGCCTAGGATCAAAACAACGAAAACCGGACCCAAGATCATGTAATTAGGTTACTAAAATAATAATTGTGGAATGATTGTGAAATCCTCACAACATCTAGGCGAAATCAAATCCTACACCCCACCTTATAGATTATAGAAGAAAATATAAAAGGAATATTTAGTCCTTAACTCTCTTTGTGCCGTCGTAATAAGCTCCCCTATATGAGAGGTCGTATATCTAAGTTCCTCAACTACAACTGATAATCAAATGCAATTAAGAGATTTCTTAAGATTTCTAATGAGGGCCAATCAGCAGTAAAAGATCAGATAGCGGCGCCTTATATTATTAGCAACAAACTCCTGAAGAGATATTCATCTGTTCTACTCCATATCTGGCAAAATGAACAAATTGTTTAATTACTAAAGAACAGACCGAAGTGAAAGGACAGTTAATATCAAAAGTACATAGAGACTAAAGGAGCAACTCAAAAGAGAGACAGGACTAACTGGTGGCACAAAAATGTCCCCACACAAGACCCATGGATATAGATACCTTATCAGAACTCAATCCAATCCAGAATAATAAGCAAGAATAATAATCCGCAACCGTCTAAACTGAGTCTTACTACTGCCCCCAATACCGACAACATCAACTGTTCCCCCACCCCAAATCTCAAGATCCTAGACTATATCTCTATAACCCACGTCAGATCTAATGGAGCCAGCAACCCTCCATTCCATAAATAAGGAAGTATCACAGGGACTTGATCCGCATATCATGTTAGTCAAATTAGCGGTTAAATTAATTAACGAAGGAGCAAGGAGTGCTACAATTATCAATATTCGCACCCAGAAGTAACTCAAAAAACACGAAAAAGACACCGCCCCCCCAAGAAGAAAACACGAATGGTCATAAAAGCGTAGAAGCCACAAGCCAACCTCAAACTCACGAAAGAATTCGAATCGTATCCTATTAAATGAACTCTCACGACTATCAGCACCTCAATCTAAGCCGAAGTAATTTCGTCAGGATTCTAGAACCTCGCGTAAAATCCAACCCCAACGACTCCCCCGAGCATAAAACGCCTAGATCTCTCAAAGACCGGAGCACTAGGCAGTAGAACCTGCAGAAAAAATTAATCCCGAGATCCCAGACCCCAGGTAGATGAAAGTGACTATCTTCAAAAAGGAGGAAGTGTTAGAAAAAACCAGGGACTAGATTTCGACAGCTCCACAAAGAAGCACCAAGAGGACTATCAAGGAATATCATATAACGAGTCCAGAAAAAGGATCGCGGGCCAAATAAAGAACTCCCAGGACAGATGCGTCTATGCCTCCCCACCAAAAGCCGACCCCCCCCTTCCTCCAAGGGATCAACTAAGCCCCGGGGGAAGGAGTCTTCTCCCCAACCGAGCCTAGGTTCCAGCACGAGAAAGTATAAAAAATAAAAGGAGAAAACTACATGGAAACATACTAGCGGCCTTACGACAGGGAGAAAACGACTAGATAATAGAAAGAGAACCTAGAAAAAGTAACAAGGGAAAATAACACAACCGGGCCCTCTCAACCAGACCAAAGGTAGAAGCCCTAAAGTCCAACCACCTAAAAAATATCAACACCCGAAAACTCAGGAAAGACAACAACCCTCTCAGCACTGGTTACCTGGAGCCGGCCGACTGAAGCCGCAGCCAACTATCGACTCTAAAAGACCCATGCAGTTGCAGGGCGGTGAGCAGAGAAGCCGACCAAAAGGATAGCCCAAGTAGCCCGACCGATAAAATTAGAGGGACATTCCCCCCCCAAAGAAAGGAACTCCCCAGTAGAGGTCGACAAGAAAGGACTCAGCCGGACCACTAAAAAGGGCTGATTCCTAACACATAGGAGCCAGACATATCTGGAGCTGAATCAGCAACTCCCCACCTACTAGCTTCAGGAAAACCCTCCCAAAAGACTAAAGGACGACGCAACTGGTCCTAACCAGATGACTCAACCTCGGATCAGGAAAATTGAACTCGAAATAAAGAACAGGTCAAAAGGAAACGTCATTGGACCCTAAGAATGATTAAATCCACTCCCCGATCAAATCAAACCAGCAGCGACGGCACCAGAAATCGGAAAAAGAACATCAGGATCCAATAAGAACCCCGAGTCCCGCAACAATTCCAGTACCCTAAGTGCAGAAGCAAACTAAAAGAGGCGGTCAAACACCACCAGCTTAAAAGCAGTCTTTATAAGACACAGTGAACTCATCCACAACACATCAACCCAATCCAAAAGTCGGGTCATAACAGGCCTAGACTCCCAACTAAAGGAGCAGCCTCAGCAGGAAGCCAAAATATCAAATAACCGAGAATATACGAGTTAACAAAGGGGAGACACTCGCAATCTTTCACACTTCCCCTTCAGGGAATAATGAGGCTTAAGGGAAAAATCAAATCCCCGCCCGTCGCTGGGTAAAAGTCTGGATACCAAGTAACTCAAGTCTAGTAGGAGCAGATTGAGCGAGAATAGAACGGACATCTCGCCAAGACAAAATTAACTCACCCGCCATCTCAGAGAAAAACGGAAGCTAGGAACTTGCCACCGACACCGAAAGTGCACCTCGAGAGAGTCTCGTGAGAATAGAGATAGAACAAGCGAGACGTCACCATCACAAAGGTGAGGCGGAGTTCTTGGAAAGGACAATAGATAGGAGAACCTCCCAAGGGGATAGGAGTCTGGATCCTGAATAGCATATCAACATCTCAGGACGGGGGCAAGTGATAAGTTTAAGACCTGCCTCGACCCACCCAAGCCAAAGGGGACCAGACAGAACCTCACCACCCCCTAGGCAGATCTAGACGAGACAAGAACCAGGAAGAGATCCTTTTTAAGGTGAGACGAAAAAGTTCAAGAAATAGCTGCCTGGATAATTCATCAGGTGCCTACCCCAGAGATTCTGAATCAGGATCTCAGGGACCTAGAGGAAACAAAAGTGCGGGTAAGGCAAAAATCGTCCCAAACGACACACTAATTTAGAATAACCAAGAACGGGACTACGTGAGGAGACTGTAGAAGCTATAGGTCCACCTGACCTGATGAGAACCAAGGACAAAACATCAACGGCTAAGTCGATGAACCGAACTCATGCAGGAGAAAGGAAATCATCACCAAATCCGGAAAACGAATAATAGGACATGAAACAATCATCTGAGGCAGGCTCCAAGGAAAAGCGTCCCTCGCGAAACTCAAGAATCAAACCCTCTCACGAACAAGGAGCTAAAAACAACTAAAGACTTAATCTGTATCCTCTAAACCTTTCATAACCGAAGACAAACCCGAGCTTTAGGACGGGGGCTAGTAGCTCTGGTAATATTAGCCGGAGTCCCAACTAGGAGCAGGATCCCCCTCCCTCAGCCAAACTGGACTCTACCCCCCAGCACCACAGAAAACGTCCAGAATATTTGCCAAAAAATTCAGAACCTAATCAAGGAGCCCCCAAAGCCGAAAACAACTCAAGGATCAAGAGGACTATTACCGGAGAGAACCAACACTTTGGAACGACCATCCTGAATTATAAGATCAAGACTCAATTCTCCCCCTCACCAGACGCCCCCGAGGACGTATTGGAAGGTTAAAACCAGCATCTAACAGAGGGAGTCAATAAGTGAAGAAATCGAGCAAACAGAGGAAAGAATAAAAAAGGAGTAAGTCAAGGCGGAGGCTGCTATATCTGTACCTCTCGGGGGCAAGGAGAATCTTTAGGAGTCTGGATTCAAGAGTCAAAGGCACCGGATGGAATTCTCAAAGGGCCAATATTATCCAACAATCGTACATCTAACAGAGGAAAGTAGTAAAAGTCATCAGCAACCCCAACAATCCTGAAGCGTAAAGTAGAAGAGAGACCCCCCCGGCAAGATCAGGGCAGAACAGCAGAAACCACGGGTGAAGCCCGCCAGCGCACAGTCAACAGCGCCTGATCTCCATGATATAGGATAAATCTCCCTTTTCTAAAGAAGGAACGTAACATCCACGAAACAAATGCAATCCGAGCCAGATCTCGGTAACGGATGATAAGACTCAAGACCAAGTCAAACGCGCAGTCGCACTCCTGGCCGAATCTTAGGATTTTTGTAAGTATGGGGGAGTTCTTAAATGAGGTCTCACGGTGGGTCAGGAACAGCGAAGCAAGATAGGACGCGTGATATGGAGGGGAAGAACAACTCTGGACCGGAGGACTCAAAGGTCAAGGACCTCAAGCGCGAGCCACCCATAACCAAGGATACAAGAAGGAAGGAGGGCGTCTCTCCCGAAGGAAATCACGTCCAAGGTAAAAGTTCCAGAGAAGTAAGAACCAAGAAAAGGGAGCCAGGGGAGCAGTTTCAAGTCCGAGCAAGAGGACCCTCATAACAGCAACACAGAGTCCTACCTCAGAAAAAGCCAACCCCACCCCAGTAAGAGTCAAATAAGCGGGTGTATGGTCTAAGGCGCCCCCCGAACCAAGAACGTATCCAAAAGACACCCCCAGCCCAACCTAACCAGGAGGCCCTTAAAGCAATCTTATCTCGTAGAGAACATCTAAGAGGAGAGTTTATGGCCCGCCCAAGGGAGGAAGCGAGGATCAGAGGAACCCAAGGAATCCTATACGGGACAGGTCCCAACCTGGAGATAACTCCCGGATCAAGGAAGAGTATCAGAAAATATCAGGAAAGCAACTCCAAAATGAAGATGAGGGGGTGACGAAGGAATAAATTCTGAGAGGAGACACAGATGAACAACCCAGGACGGCTGGGCTAGAAGAGTGAATAAATCCTGGCAGGGAGTCCTGCGGGAGAAGAAGCAGAAGGGGGGAGCTCCCCGAAGGAGAAGTAGGAAAGGGAGAGCAGAGATAAGGAGGGGCTGACCAAGAATAGAGAAATGCCGACTCATTGAGGACTCATTCGTCTGCAGTCTTATTGATCTTAAGTCTCGAGGGACGTGCCCCCCCGGTTCCAAACTTGAACGATCCACGAGCCTCATGAAGTAGGAGATCGAACAGACTCTTCCCCCGAAGCAGAACTTCCCCGGAGCGAGAAAACGGGGGTACAGGAATAAGAACTCAAGAACTGACCGACCAAACGGGAGCAGAAGTTACAGCTAGGAAATCTGGAAGAGGAGATAATGAGATAAAAAAAGTCGTAGAGATGGGCTCAGGTGTATTGAGTTTAAAGGACCACTCCTGGAGCAGGAAGTACGCCTCAAAAAAATCCGAGGATTGTGAGCCAGAGTATAATCTGTATTGTCTGGGCAAATATGGTAAAAGGGATCACGCCAGCAGGGGGTTTTTGGGATCTCTTGCAGCTTCCCTGATGCAGCTAAATAGGGACCTGGACTGGAACGACTTTATAACCAACAAAAGAGGACTAAAAGGGTATATCCTAGGGCCAAACAGCGATGAACACACATGGAAAGGACTTTTATCTTGTGTAGTGTCTAAGGCCTTACAAATCCCAAGCATCGTGACAAATTCAGAAAACCAGGAAGTCAGAGTCTGGACAAGCAAGAAATGGCAGGAACTCTTGAAGCATGGGACAGATAAGGATTGGTCAAGAGGGACCACGGGAAGAAACATGATAATGGCCGTAGGGTGTATCATAGCTGCATTGATGGTCCCCAGAACTCGAGGCCGAGACATGACCCAAGAGATAAGGATGGGGTGCAAGAGCGTCTGGGAACAGGTGTCCCTGGAGTTAAAACCTCAAGTCGTTCCGGGAGCAGCTACCGAAATACAGAAGTTAAAGCAGCTCATAGAAAATATTCGGGAGGTGAGAGGAAATAACGAAGACAGATATGATGGTTTTGGGTTTCTTATGACTCTATATTATGGACTAATGAGTTGTTGTAAATATGGGAGGAATTATGAGTTAACGAGGTTAATAAGGAAGGGCGCCTGGAGTCTAGACAAAATGGGAGCATGCAAACTAGGAGAAGGGAACATTAACTGTGAAGGCCAATTAAGCCAGATTGAAGGAGATGCGCTGAATATCTGGACTAGAGGGACCAGCCCCCTCGTATCTTCTACCCTGCGGACCCCTCCCCCAACTATCAAGATCACAGCAGGGTCCGACACAGAAGACCAACGAGATAAGGCAAAAGTACAAGAAATAAAGGAAAAAAATGAAGCCAAAAAAGCTCAGTTAGTGGCCTCTCGCAGGGCCGCTCCGACAAACCACGGTATAATCGCGACGCCAGGAGTCACACATACCTTGACTAGCAACAATAGACAAGCTCCAGTTGCTATCCCTTCCCCCCCCGTCCCCTTGCGAGAACCATCCGCGGCCCTGCCAAGAACTGATCTCGAGCTAGCCAAGGAGGAACAGCAGACAAGTGACGTCGAAGTATCATCGCCCCAACCTGAACTAAGACAGCATAGCGGACAACGTCACAATAGGACCCCAGACGAACACCATTCATCTCTAAATCAAACTGTCAACAACACAAAAGTATCCGAGGAGGGGCCCTCGTCCCCTGACTCCGAACCTCCAGAAGCCAAAGGGGCAGAGTGGGAAGAAACTAGTACCCCACGCCACATGCAGCGGGGCGCAGAAGGAAGCGGGATAATAGGAATCATAGGTGCAGCTGTAGCGGGGCTATTAGCTCTGGCGAGTTCGTATGGACTTTACCGAATATTTAAGTCAAGGAAGGGACGCAATGGGCCAGAAAATTTCAGGAGGGAACAGTTTATTGGAAGAGTAGGATATGGAGTACCCCAACAGAGTGCTAGGAAAATCGACTAAGGCAACCACCCATCCACCTAAGCCAAATCACCCCCAATCGTAGGCCCCCAAAACTACATGTGAAAAAAATTGTCTCCCCCCAGATAATCGACGAATGATAAGTAAACTAACGCCTCAAATGACTGGAACCAATATCACGAAGAAGTTCCACTGCCGGGGACCAAAGTTCGGACTAAAATTCCAAGCGGGGCGACAAGTTCACCGGTACCAATCGGCCCCCAGAACCTTCGGATGCAACCCTCTTCAGTGTTCTCATTGAGTTTTCCAATTAGCAAACCCACTCCACAGCTCCTCAGACTTCTGCAAAGGAGTTAACTCCAACACCCCCCACTCCCCAAGAAAAGACTGACCATGACGAATAAGGTACGTAAGGACCTTAGTCCAGGCTGGTGAATGGCTCAACCTCACAGCATAAAGATCCAAGCCACCCAACTCTGTGTCGTCAGTGGTTCAGTTTTTAAGCGGCCAAACTGAACAAATCTGAGGACTAGCTTAGATAGACGACGGAGCTACCAACTGCTCCAAGGAGGAGGATGAGGGGCCGACCATTTCAACCTCTTTAGACAAAGGGGGGGTTTAAACTCTGTTTCTATGGGGTATAGATTGAGATTAGCGTCTAAGTGGTTTAGCCTCAGAACAGGAGTCTAGACCAAAGGAGAGGTCGCACCCATTGTGGACCGAGGACACATTTCCCCAAGAGGCAGCAAAACTTGGGCATTAAAGCGTCAGGGTTCCAAGCTTTAGATAGTTCTCACCTTCCAACTCAACGCGTCAACAATTAAGGCCTGTGGACGAGGTTTTAGGGTAAGGTTCAGGCTTCGGGGTTTAGGTCTAGGTGTTGTTCTTACAGAAGACTGGGTTTTGGCTTCAGGCCTGTTCTAGGCATCAATGTTCACAGTCCACAACTGGGATTTTGGCGCTGGGGAGTCAGGTCCATGTCTAGGCTCCAGTTGTTAAGGTTTAGAGTTTCGGGTTCAGGGTTTAGGTTCAGGGTTTAGGGTTCAGGGTTCAGGGTTTAGGGTTCAGGGTTTAAGGTTCAGGGTTCAGGGTTCAGGGCTTAGGGTTCAGGGGTTAAAGTTCATGGTTCAAGGTTCAGCGTTTTGGGTTCAGGGGTTTAGGGTTGCGGTTTCATGGCTTTGATGTTATCCTTTATGATCTAGTGGAATTTTGGTACCTTTTAACGTAGGAAGCCTCAGTGGGAGTAGGAATTTTCCTCAATGGCTGCGCCATGGATTAGCTGTATGGTTCAGGAATTGTCTGTACTCCTTGGCGCTCTTATCTGTGTCTGAAGGTTCAGTCTTTACTCTGGGGGGGAATTTTTGTTTTCTGTGGTTCCTTTCACTATTATATATATTCGTTCAGTTGAACCAAATGGCTTATTAACCTATTCGCAGATATGGCCACTCGGGATGCAAATGTGATTGGCTGGCAGTTTGAATCACGAATCATACGCGAAATCATATCTATATCGGCTGTATTAAAAATAGGTGATCCCATAGTCATATGGTCTTGTAAAAAATATCGGGAGTGTGTTTATAAACGTTTTGGTTGTTTTTGGTTCAGGTTTGCTACTATCTACCTGAGAGGTTCAAATGTATTCATGCATCAGGTGATGTGTGAATAATACTACACTACCCTGTATAATTTACTCTACACATATATTTCTTTCTTATTTTATTGCAATGATCTTTTTGTCATGGAGGATTTGGATTTATATTCTTCTGTATTTTATGTCTTAATACCTCAGGAGAACACCCCAGTTATTAGATAAGTAGATACAACCTACTTTGGGAATTAATCTCTTATGTTCCTATATTAAAACTATAATATTAATACAGAATCATTCTTGTTGGTTGGTAAATTCACTCTCCTTGCATAAATTGATAATATAGGATTCAATACTAAAGCTGACTGTAATATAACCTTTCAGGTGCCTGCTCAGCAGTCAAAAGAGGAAGATGTTTATAATAGGATCATTTCTTCCTTCCTTTATGAGAATTGTTTGCCCCATACAATTCATATTTACATATTACTTCGACGAAACTATATGTTGTTTTCAGTTGAGAGTCATAAGAACAACAGAGATGAATCTAATTATTACCGCAAACAAAGAATTACAACTGTTGCCGTGATAAATTATGGCATGCTGTATGATATGATCTATGATGCATAAAGGAATTTATCATATTGTGATAAGCACTGATATTAAAGTACAAAATGTTTATTAATACCACGAACCTTTTTGTTTTTACTTTACACAGAGACTCGTAATTTTATCTTTGAATAATAAAAAATCCTAATAAGTATATGGATCCATTTATATATGTATATACATATCTGTAACTATTGTTGGACCATGTTATCATTAATATAGATCTAAATAATTACTTACTTGCAACAGTAATATATCAAGATTTTAATCTTACCCAGAAAGAATCAGTTATTACAATTGAATCGTCACTTCATTTGCGTATGCTAGGATTCTGTATAACCAGAGTAGACAGCTGTTTCGTATAGAATCATATCCATGACTACGATATATTATAGTATAGATTTGTATCGTAAGAAAATTATTCCCTCGGGAACTGAGCGGTGAACTTACAGAATTACCAATAATTCCTCGTATAGTTATAGAGAAATAAGACAACTAATTATTTTAGGGATCACAACACGGACCCCTATTATTGGCTTCAGGAAGAGTTGTTCCTAATATTTCATATGTGTATTTCAAATCTACTCTATAGGTTGTTAATTCTCCATATTAATCCGCCATGTAGAGATGTCTGCGCAAGAGATAAGATTTTTATGATAAGGGTAAAGAAAAATATTATGACAAAGAAGGCTTCCTGAGGAAATAAATGAACATTTTGTATCTTCAGTAAAGAATGTACAAAAAAGTCAATACATCAGAGGAATTTCTCGCTCTTTGTCTGCTACACTAAAATGGACACTCCACTATATTGCTAATATATGGAAAAAAAGACGCCTATCCAGTAAAATTCTTTAAGTACTCGTTAACTAAGCTGTCCATAAACCCTTATTGGCCAGATTAGAGGGAAAAATTCCAGCTTATTTATGAGAGAGGTTAACAATTAGTCTAAATTGAATTATGACGAATGAAGGAAGACTTATTGGACGCTCATTAATATATCTTAGGTCTGTGACTTAATGTAGTTATTAATGCACGTATTCGCAATTATTTACATGGTATTTTCATAGATCAATTTATTCTTGCAAGGTTATAATGAAATTTTATTAGCCATAGGAAGAGTATTGATTCCTTCCATTATTTATCCTCTAGAGAAATAGGCGAAATCTTATCTAAGCAAAGGAGTGACAAACTCGATATACATACTGTACGGAGTTGCTACTGTCCGCTAATGTGAGAAGCGATGCTCAAATTAGGCGAAATGTTGTAGGCATATCAAGGCAAAGAAGAGGGAAATGTTGGTAGTGATTCAAAGATATGCCTTAACCTAACAAGTGTATCATATTGAAGAGGACCTTCATAATGGCCTATTATGACATTCAGAATAGACACTGTATAAATATTCATCCGATTCAGGGAGG